ACTGCAGACACGCACACGCACACGCACATGCACACGTGAGTTGTGTGCCATGTGTGCCATGTGTGTGTGTGCATGCCCGTCATGCTTGGCAAATGCCATGTGTGCGTGTCATGCAGTGTTGTGAAGTGTTGTCTGTTGTTGTTGTAAGTTCATGGTGGTGGTGCTGTTGTTGGAGACTTGTGTGTGTGTGTGTGCAGAGTGTGCTGTGTGTTGTGTGGGATATTGTCTTGGCAAGAGAGAGTTGTGTGTGTTTACTTGAGTTGTGAAGCAAACAAGGATGTAGGATGAATGAACACTCCAACAGAAAGAAACAGAGCAGAAGACAAGAATTGTCGACAACGCAAAGTGGTGACGTGGCAGTGTTTGTTGAGAGTTGTGTGTGTGTGGTTATGTGGTGTGTCATGCAAGAGCATGTAACATCGAGCAACCACACAAGCTAAACACTGCACGTGCAACAGGTTGGAGGGAAATCACGTGAACATTCCAGAACACAAGAGAGGTGAATGCAAAGTTGTGGTGTCGTGAAGAAGGGAGGTCAATGATACGACTCAGCAGACAGGACTGGCCTGTCAACAGTAGAGGGCCAGCACGGCCGTGTTCTCACATGCGAAGCGCGCGCCTTCCTGTGACGTGATGAGCATGTGGATGATGTCATCAGTTGCCGTTGAGCAGCTCTCGCCTTGTTCTTGAGATCCCGTTGGAGGAGCGGGGTGAACTCCTTGGACGCCAGGTTCCTGTGGTGCGCAGCCTGTTGTGGAAGGCTGGCCCGAGTGAAGGCGTGTCCTGTGGTGCGCGGCCGCTCAGAGGTCCTGACGCGGAGTCGAAGGACGTGGCGACCGGCCCGAATGAGGACGGGCCCGTGGCTGGCAGCCTGGCAGAGGACGCTGGTCGAACAGCATCGTGCAGAACTGAGCCGTCTTGGGCCGAGGGAGGATCTTCGTGAGGAGATCTGCGATCATGTGCTCCGTGGCGAGGTAGCTCAGCACAATCCTCTTGGTGTCGACGCACTCGCGGATGTAGTGGTACTTGACGAGGATGTGCCGCATGCGCGAGGCGGCGTGTTCGGCAACGCGCTGCGCCGGCTGGTTGTCCGTGTGGACGAGCGTGGGCTCGCACAGGACGGCGCCGGTGAGCTCCTCCTGGAGTTGGCGAAGGAACATGAGTTCCTGTGCGGTGGCTGCGAGAGCCATGTACTCCGCGTCGGCGGAGGCTGTGGCCACGGTGGCCTGCAGTTTGGAGTTCCAGGACACGGGGCCCGTGGAACAGAAGACGACGAAGCCCGTGCGGGAACGTCGCGTGTCAACGTCGGAGGCGAACGACGCATCCGAGTACGCTGAGAGCACGCCGTCGGCAGTGCTGCCGTTGCTGGTGTCGCCAGTGGCGGCGTACTTGATGATGTAGGACAAGGTGCCCTTGATGTAGCGAAGAAGGTGCTTGGCAGCCTTCCAATGGTCCATGCCGAAGTGCTGCATACGGCGAGACAGGATGGAGACAGCCGCCGAGATGTCTGGGCGCGTCATCGTCGCAGCATAGAGGAGGGAGCCAAGCAGCTCGCGGAACGGCACGTCCGGGAGTGGCTCCTCCTTGTCGGCTGGCTTGTCGACGTAGCCTGTGCAGAGCGGCGTGCCGACAGGCTTGCAGTCAGCCATGCCGAAGGTCTCCAGCACGCTGCGCAGGTAGTGCTCCTGGCTCATGGTGACGGTCCTGGCCTTGCGGTCGTGCTGCACCTTGATGCCGAGACAAATGTCTGGGCTGCCCAGGTCCTTCATCTTGAAGCGCTTGGAGATGGCCTTCTTGAACGCGGCCATGTCGCTGTCGCTGTCGGCGAAGATGAGGAGGTCGTCCACGTAGACGGCAACCCACATCACCTTGCCACCCTTGCAGGTGCGGCGGTAGATGCAGGCGTCCGTGGCTGTGGCGACGAAGTCCTGCTCGCGCATCCAGGCGTCCAGCGTGTGGTTCCACAGGCGCGGGCTCTGCTTCAGCCCATACAGCCCGCGCTTGAGGCGCAGGACCGTATTCGGCGAGAAGATGCCGTCGACGGCCGGTGGCTGGACGTAGATCTCGTGATCCACGGGCGCGTTGAGGAACGCCGTGTTGACGTCCATCTGCTGGATGTCCATGCCACGCGCGACGGCCATGGCGAGCATGGTGCGGATGGCTGCGATGGTGGCCGTCGGAGCAAAGGTGTCCGTGTAGTTGACACCTTGGACCTGGGAGTAGCCCTTGGCAACCCAGCGCGCCTTGTACTTGATCACCTTGCCCTGGTCGTCACGCTTCTTCCGAAAGATGACCATGCTGCGGAGCAGCTTGTGGCCCTTGGGAAGGTCAGCGCGAGGCACGACGTCGTAGACGTCATTGGCCTGCATTGCCGCAAACTCGTCCAGGATGGCTTGGCGCCACTCCTCAGAGTCTGGCGAGGCAAGCGCCTCCTTGACGGTGGCTGGCTCAGCTGACGTGGCAACACTGCCAGCAGCGATGTCTGGTAGATGACCACCCACTGCTGATGTCTTCTCCCCCGTACCAGCAGCGCCGGTGGCAACGTGACACGTGGTGGTTGAGCCACCAGAGGTGTCCTTGTCGCCGAGGGTCTCGGACACCAGCAGCTGGTCCCAGACGGAGCCGCCAAGGGCGCGTGGCTGGAGCTGCGGCTCCCCCGCACGTGGTGCAGTGGGAGCGCCGGTGGCACTGTCCTCGGTCGAACGCTGAGCGGTCTTGTTGGCATGCGAAGCAGAGGCACCGCTGTCGTCCTGCTCTTGTTGCTGCTGAGAGGAGGCGACGTCCTTGTTCTTGATGGCGCCGAAGCGTGCGTGGATGGTGTGGACAACGCGTCGCGTGTCCGGCATCCAGACGACGTGGGCCTGGTCCTCCTCGGCGAAGCCGACGTAGACGCCTACGCGCGAGCGTGGGTCAAGCTTGTGCCGCGTGCTGCTCTTCTCCACATGCACGTAGGCCGGCGAGCTGAAGACGCGCAGCAGGCTGACGTCGAAGGGGTGCCCAGTCAGGGCCTCGAACGGTGACTTGTCCTTGAGGCTCCTGCGTGGCGCGATGTTGTGCAGCAGCGT